CAGTCTTAATCATTTTGTTCCTCCAGTGCTGGCCACACACTAGTCACCCAATAAATATTCACTGGTGAATTGAAAGAATATCTTAGCCAAGGAACATTTCCCAAAGTCCTCAATTCCATGTGCTCCGAGTAATTATACATCAGCTTCCCATTTAGAGCTGTCTACCCAAAGAATACGTGCTATGCAGGCCAAGGCAAGAGTTCTACTCTTTGGGGGCAGTTATCCTCTGTTATGGAATTCTGGGTCCTCTATCAGTTTCTTCTGTGTTCTCTTCAGTTTCTGCAGGACTTCTGAGGCTGAAAGGCTAAGGGTGAGACTGGGCAGTAAATGCTCCAGGGTGCCATTCTGAGGCCATTGGGAGCCCATTCCTTCATCTTCATGTGGAGATCCTCTTTCACAGTGCTGTAACCAGGGGTTCCCATTAAATTCCTTTAAGGTACAACAGGCTTTTACTGCACATTAATCACATTTGATACTGGTAAAGCTGAAGATAGTAATTGTTTATAAAAGAGAATTAAGTTAAAATGAAAATTATAAAAACAGTGGGTTTTTTTTTTTAATCCTTTCCTTTAGACAAACAACTTAAAAATCAGAATGAATATTTATTATCATGGAAGGATAAGAGTCTTTCTGGCCACATGTGGTTCCTTCACGAACAGCTCAGCATTGTTCATGACCTCTGAAGTTATCAAGCTAATGATCACAATAGCAAAACTCACGTAACACTTATTACACATTAGCATTTACACATGAAGTTTCTATGGCATTTTCTATACAGTCACTCATTTAAGCCTTACACAATACCACACGAACAAAACCATGCACATTTGTCCTGTGGCTCTAGATATAAATGATATTACAAATACAGAGCTAGTGTCACAGAACTAGGAATACTTGTGTCTAAACACAGAGGCCTTTGCTTTTCCTTTGTTTTGCTTTTACTATAAGGACAAATAGTAAAAGCACATATAGAGGTATTACTATTATTATTTCTCCTCCTCTTTGGGGCTAACAATTTGGACTCTCTGTTCCTGAGACTATTCCTCCCTCTCTGTTTCTCTGAGCCCAGGTGACTTGATGATTTGACCATCGCAGGTGACTCACGGCCAGGTCAACAGAAAGCTAGACATCTCTTTTGATTTAAGCATAAGCCGGTAAGTTCCAGAGTGCAGGGCAAGCAACACTGAATTGGGACTTGGAAGCCTTTGGAATAAATCCACTAACCAGGTGATTTGTTTCCCTAGACAGAAAGTGGGGTGTTTGGACTTAAACAGCAGTGGTAACGATCTAGCACGCACGCCCTCATACAGCGATAGGGCACTTAGACCGCACCCAGAACCCACTTGGAGCACTCCAGGCAACAGCTTCAAGCTGCTCAGACTTGGCCATTTTAGTGAACTTACGCACATTATATATGAAACCTTGTATAGTGCTTTCCTTTTATCAACTCATTTAACCCTTAAGCAAAATCATGTTAAATGAAACCTAAGGTGCCCCCTGTGCTCTGGTCACATTACGTCACGATGCCTGAGATTTTAGCCAGCATTGTATCATCTGCCCCTCTTCCCTGTCCATGGATTTTCCATAAGGTGAGTCATGTTCCACTTACACACAGAGCAAAGAGAGAGAGAAAAAAAAATAATAACCTTAGGAATCAAAACCAGAAAGCATCCATCTACCTAGGGGTGGACTTACTCCCACAGTGTTTTAGCCACAAGGCTCTCACCAGGTGGACTTTAGGAAGAAGCCGATGCAGGCAGCTAAACTCTATTCATTCTCTTAGGCCATTTCCCTGGCAAAGCCGAATTCCCTCACCTAAGCCAGGCTCTCTCTAAAGTGGCAAACTCCATCCCTGGAACGTGGCATGGCAAGCTGATTTGTGTTTTTCCTCCATTCCTGACCCCAATCTTAGAAGTATTGACCAATGGTAAGGAGAGGCTAGCAGAAGTGGGGGAGATCAGCTTTGGGTGTGCAAAGAAACAGTGGTATTGGGAACAAGCCAACAACTGTCAAAAGAATCACAGAGAAGACATCCATGATGAGTCTATGGATTCCACCTTTCTTTTAGTTTCATGTTCATGTTTCTGAGTTTTGTGGCAAAAACATACTCCAAAAAGGAATGGAGGATTAAAAAATACTCTTAGCCCTGATATATTCAGCACATTTAGTATATGTCATCCACTTCCTCCTAGTTTTTTTCAATCAGATTTTTAAGACTCTCAGAGAAATTTATGGTCTTCAAGTGCAAGAATGTCAAGAACCAAGATGTTTGTGGTTTATGCTTGATGTTAAAAACGATCTAGTACAGGATTCCACGCATCGGCAATATGTCTAGGTGGGCACCCTAGGAATACGTCAAGAGGAGGACTGGACTCTCCCTCGGGGCTCAGTCTTTAGTGTTTTGCTGCCCCAAGAGGCCTTGTAGACTCACAAAACTGTGGCTGTGGAAGAGGAGAGAAGAGCTAAAGCTTGTCACAACAGACCTTTTCATCCAAGAATCTCAAGTGTTTTATCCAGGAATCCCACCCACAAAACACTCCTGGAAGGTGTCAGAGCATCCTAAACACAGATGGTGAACGTGAAGTGAAAGGAGAAACATGCGGTAGAGATGCCAGAAGACCAGGCCTCTGTGGATCACCACCTGGGGCTGCTCTGTGGTTGTGACACATTGAATGGTTGTGACCATGATGCGGCCCACGTGATGACACTTGGGTGAAAAATCACAAAGGCTATGAGTGCCCGACAGTTATTCAAATATTAACAAACCACGTTCTGTAACAATTGACTTAAACTGACCTAAGTTCTCATGAAAAAATATTCTCCCCTAAATAGCTATTAATCAAGAATGCTGATCAACTTATTTTCCGCGGAATTGTAAAATAAGCCCCTTTTAGTCAGTAGTACCTACTATATTGAATACCTACAATGAGTTCCTTTTTTCCCCTCATAAATATTTCAGAAAGTTATTTTTAAAATCTCATTTTAAACCATATTGGTACTTCCAATTTGTAGAGACATATTCTATACTCTCACATACGTATAGAATAGCTCTGTCAGAAATATGAGATCCACAAATGTAACCTTAAATTTTCTAGTAGCCACATTAAAAAAGTAAAAAGAAACAGACAAAATCAATTTTAATATCTTATTTAACCCAATATATCCAAAATATAATCATTTTAATATGTAATCAATATACAAATGGGTGATCTATTTTATCATTAATTTAATGATAAATGACTTAGTATATTTATCATATACATTTAAAATTTTTTGTACTATGTGTCTCTGGAATCCGGTGAATATTTCACTCTTATAGCACATCCCGATCAGATGAGCTATAATCAAGAGCTCAATAGCCCCATGTGGTTGGCGGTTACCACATCGCACAGCACAGATAGAGACCACGTGAATATGGTGCAATGAGCCATCTTCTTGGACTTAGATGAAAAGCATTTTGAAAGTTGATGGACCACTGCCATTTGGTTACTTTCACTGCTTTAGAAAAAGGAAGAATATATACACACACATACACACAAACACACACATGCACACGCACATTCTCTCTCCATATTTTTTTTTCTAAGTAACCCCATTTATCTAGAGGTTCTCCCAATATCTTTAGTCATTTGTAGTAGTTCTGAGAATGAGCCTGGAAAGGTCCTCTGGCCAATACAAATAACTCCTAAGTCCATGAAGACTGCTTGGGTGGAGGGAAGTATAGTTAGTCCCTCTCTTCCCCTAAAGCAAGAAAACATCAAACAACTGTAAGAGCCACAGGCCCTTGGCCCGCACTGGCCGGAGCGCACCATCCGTGGGGCCTACACTAGACGGGGCTCAGGCAACAGGAGCTACAGGCCATGGAATTCACGAGTTCTGCCATTTCCCAGGCAAGTCGGACTTCCTCCCCGAGCTGTGCTCTTCTGGAGTGGCAAACACTAAATCTAGCCTCTGGCACCTCCTGATGCTCCCCCTCCCTGCCCGTCTCTGATCTCTGGGCCAGGGGGCCCAGGGGTGGGCTGCAGGGACATGACAGAAGCCCACTGCAGGTGGCCCCGAGGTGGGACATCACAATCAGGCTTTTATAAAGGAGAGAATAAGGTGCCTAGAAGAGAGAGAGGACAAATATGAAATCTGCTGCCTGCATCAGGGACAAAGTATTTTTAAATTTCCCATTCCTTGTTGAGGTACTTTTTCCATAAAACTCAGAAATACAAAACCGAAAACTAAAGGAAGAGTGAGATCCATAGACTCGTCCACTACTGAGCTCCCACACACGTCCTCATTGTTCGCCTGACAATGTTGACTTGTTCCCACATACCACTGCTTCTTTCCCTGTAATGACACAGCCCCTCACCCGCGAGCCTCTTTGGGTTCCCTGCTCTGCTTGTATCGACCATGTCACTGAGGGCTGTCACATCACCCTTGCCTCTGGGGATATCGATGGTGAGCCTCTCTTGTAGGGGACACTTCACAGAGTGGACTTTGAAACTGCCCACAGTGAGAAAGGCTGGTCCGACTCATGAATAAGGGCTGAACATAAGGGTCCTGGACACACTTAGCGGCTGTGCAGCCTGGCCTACTCTGAGCCTCAGTTTTCTTATCTTAATACAGGAATTACACCTGGATGCACCGTTTACGATTGTGAGGGCTGAATGAGGAAATCACGTAAAGAGCCTATCACTGTGTCTGGCCACACGTGAGACATGAGACATTTCTTCATCATAACCACTGTAAGAGAGGTTAAGTCACTTTTGTAGGATCTTATATCAAATGGAAAAGAAAGGGCCAAGCCCTGGTGTATCTGATTTCAAAATCCAGACTGCTTTTCCTATGTGTGTGTGT